CTCATATATAAATATATTTGCATATGTACATGGATCTACACTGGTATAGATAGGAACTGGAAACACAGGGAATCCAGGGCGGATGATCCCTTCAGGACCAGTGGTGTGAGTGGCGATACTGGGAGCATAGAGGGAGAGTGGGTTGGAAAGGGGGAACTGATTATAAGTGTCTACATGAGACCTCCTCCCTGGGGGACGGACAACAGAAAAGTGGGTGAAGGGAGACGTCGGACAGGGCAAGATATGACAAAATAACAATTTATAAACTATCAAGGGCTTATGAGGGAGGGGGAGCGGGGAGGGAGGGGGAAAATGAGGACCTGATGCCGGGGATTTAAGTAGAGAGAAAATGTTTTGAGAATGATGTACAAATGCGCTTTACACAATTGATGTGTGTATGGATTGTGATGAGTTGTATGAGCCCCTAATAAAATGATTTTTTTTAAAAGAGTTGTATGAGCCCCTAATAAAATGATTAAAGAATAAAACTAAAAAAAATAAATTTTATTATTAGCACAAAAAAAAGAATATTGAAAGTACAGAGGCCTGCCAGAAGAATAAAAATATGACTTGGAAGAAGTACAGCCAGAATGCTACCTAGAGGGAAAGTCAGTGAGACTTCAAAGTACTTTGACCATGTTTTTAGGAGAGATGGCTCCCTGGAGAAGGCATCACGCTTGTTAAAGCAGCCAGTCAATCAGAAAGGAGAATTCCTTCAACAAGATGGATGACATAATGGCTGCACTGATGGGCTCAAACATAAGAGGAGTTTTGAGGATGGCACAGGACTGGGCCGTATTTAGTTCTATAGAAATGTGGTAGTTACGAGCCATAACTGACTTGTAGAGAATAGCAACAACTGCAACACTAACTATAAATTCAGACTCTACCTATAGATTTTCCATTAAATAGCAAGCATCCCCTCCATTCCCTTCAAACTTCCAAAGTATCTTCCATGGATGAAAAGACTAGTCCTTTGTTATTTCACTGATACCATAAAAGTTCATTAATACCATCCCCAAAATACACATGTATTTCTATTACCTTGAGACTGTAATATTTGGAACAAACAGATCTTGCATATTGTGATTAATTGTTCTCATGCTGTCAAATCTACGTGTGGTTGATGCCTGCAAAGGACATCTGGTTTTTCTACCCAAGAATATCTCTTCACCTTTTTTATATAGGACTCATCTCTTTTTAGCACATTCTCTTTTTCCCCCTTTGCACGGGTGGTATCCACTTGCAATTCTAGCTCCACAGATAAGTTCTCAATTAGTCTAATCTAAGCCAATCAATCATCCTGTGTCTTAATTTCAGAACAGAGAGATATGATACATTTGCTAGGGTCTCCTAATGTAAAAGTCCTTTGTTGTCTGGGATGGACTGAAATGATGAAACATGTATGCATGTTTGCTCCTGGCGGACATCTTTTGAGGGCATCTGGTTTAGAGGAAAGCAAACCTGTGGAAAACAGCATACAGGGATGGAAAGACCCTTTGTTTTTGGACACATTTGAATCACTGCATCAACTAACCCTAAAGACAACTCTACTTCTGGACTGTCAGTGATTCAAAAAAAAACTGCATTTCCTTATGGTATAAGTGAAAAGGATTTAGAGTATCTTTTGATCACCCTTTAAATATCACTGAGTGATACATGGATTTTTTAAAATCATTTTATTGGGGGCTCATACAACTCTTATCACAATCCATACATCCATCCATTATGTCAAGCACATTTGTTGCCATCGTCATTCTCAAAACATTTGCTTTATACTTGAGCCCTTGGTATCAGCTCATTTTTCCCCTCCCTCCCCATGAACCCTTGAAAATGTATAAATTATTTTGTCATGTCTTACACTGAATGATGTCTCCCTTCATCCACTTTTCTGTTGGCTGTCCCCCACGGAGGGGGTTATATATAGACCCCTGTGATCAATTCCCCCTTTCTACCCCACCTTCCCTTCACCCTCCCAGTATCGCCACTCTCACCACTGGTCCTGAGGGGTTCATCTGTCCTGGATTCCCTGTGTTTCCAGTTTCCATCTATACCAGTGTACAGCCTCTGGTCTAGCCAGATTTGTAAGGTAGAATTGGGATCATGACAGTGGGGTGAAGGAAGGATACATGGATTGTTACAGCCAGTGTTGACTGGGCACATACGTTAGAGGAGTACTGGCATCCCACATATTTGGAAGACTTCTTTTAAGGGAGATGCATGTGAATTTTAATGTTCCTATTCAAAATAATCTCAAATGTTCTAAACCAAAGTGGACATGATTGTGTTGACCCTAGGTGTTGATAGTTAGCCCCTAATCCTATCTGTTTGCACTTGAGTCAGGTATTACATAATGGATATCCTTAACTGTACACGTCATTGAAACTCAACCTTTGCTGTCATATCATTCTCTATAACTCTCACAAGTGTATGCATTTATTCATCTCTGGTACCATGACTTCTGTACACTTAAAATAGTGTGTTATATTGAACATAGTTTATATTTCAAGAAATCTGATTTTTAATATCCATATGCCTTCTAGGAGCTAAGTACTTGGCATGCTCATTTCTGTAGTCAATATGTATGAGCTGATTGAATTATTTATTCAACTCTGCTACTGTAATTTTTCCAAGACTTGAAGGACTGTGTATTAGTCTGGGTACTTAGGAGAAACAAATCCACAGCAACTCA